ATTGACTACTGTAATCCTGACAGATGGTCTATATGTACACTTGATCGAGTTGCATAAAAGCTAGGGTATCTTGAGTTTAGTGTAACATACTACTATCTAATACCCAGGAAGAACATGGAAGATCGGTTAGTATATTATTATGTGAAGATGTTGCTCAGGATTCGACTTAGATACGGAGTGAAATATGGTGTGGTTGATGTATACTTTGTGCAAATAAAAACCTACTCCGTAAGTAGATGTGAAGCTGGACCATGTAAACCAAAAGAGGGGGTTGATCTCATGAAAATCAACAAGGAGGTAAGGTGCATGAAGAATTTTTTGATGTAGAAGAAATAGTGATGACTAATATTCTTGTGACTCAATCCGAAAATAAGGGTGAAAAAGATAGCAGAGGTAAAGGTGAGTCAGGAGCTAATAAGCACATTGGGGGAGCAGCTATAGGAGAAGAGAACTTGAAATTTGTTGGAAAACTAAGTTTGATGCTTTCAGAAGTTAAGAGTAGAGTTACTGATAAAGGCGATAATAGAGTAGATATAGGAGGCCAAGATCAGAATTTTAGAGAAGAACAAGGTGGGACAAACTCATAAGTGCAGAATGTAGGAAAGAATGCACCTTCAACTAGCAAATCACCAAAAGAGAAATCATTAGAGAAACAATTCTTAGCAAATAAAAAGCGGACTAAAAATGTTGGGAGAAAGAAAAAGAGTAAGAAGGAGGCACTTGTTGAGGAAAATGAGGAATCTGGTGATGGTGACAAATTCATTGATAGTGACTATGAGTTTAGTGATGAATAGAATATAGTAAAATCTGTTAAAAACAAAAAAGCTAAATGGGAGAAAATTGTCAAAACATTGCAAATCAACTAAGGGTACAAATGCAACTACATTTAAAGTGAAGGGTGCTGAGATGGAAAAAGATACTACTAATTCAGATGAATTTGATAGTTGCTGTGACTCAAAAGAAGAAGATCAGCCAAGAAAGAGGGTTAAGTTTCCAAAATTTAACCCTGAAACTAATATGGCCAATCCCAAATTTGCGGTTGGACAGACTTTTACTTGTAAATAGTTGTTCATGAAGGCATGCAAGAGCCATGAAGTAGTTCACAAAGGGAAGATAAAGTTCAGCAAAAATGATGGCAGAAGAGCTATGGCTTATTACAACGTCTGTAGTTAGAAAGTTTCTATAGCCGTTATGCCAGACAAAAAGACTTTTTAAGTCAAGAGCATGCAAGGTGAACACAATTGTGGGAGGACATTTGACCATGGACTAGCAAACTCAACTTTTTTTGGTTGACAGATACAAAAAAGAGCTAGCTGCTATGGCTGATGTCGCGCCCCTTTTTTAAAGAAATAAAATTACTAGTTATAAAAAATGAATTTTTGATTAATTTTGAGTGAAAATGAATTTTTGGTTTTTAGAGAATAAATAAAGAAAAAGGGTCTAAAATGAGATTTAAAAAGTATGACGGTTTTGATCCAAAATAATAGTTAAAAAGGGTTTTTAAGAAAAATAGGAGTCGCCACTTGGTATTGAGTTAAGGTGTACCAAATCACCTAAAAATGAATTTTTTAAATAAAAAATAGAGAAAACCCTTTTTAGACAACTCCGAATCTTCGAAAAACAAGAGAAAAGGGTTCGGGAGTCACGGTTGAAGAAAGGAAAAGTAAGGATAAAATCCAAGACACCCTTTCAACCTAACCAAGACTAGTTGAGTGATTTAGTCGAAAATTTTCTTAATTTAACCAATAAAACTTATCATATTTGGATGTTACTATATAGATGCAAATCTAGATATAATGGATATCGAGGGGTCGGAATATCTCTTCGAAGTTTAATTGGTGTCAATCGCATTAATTGCGACGCCCAAGAATGACTCTTTGAAGAGGTCACGAATATGCGAAATAAGACTCAAAGAAAAGAAGAATTATATAAATATATGTGACCTAAAAGAGAGATGCAACATAATGGGTATGGGGGACTAAGATTCATGAATTCAATTTTCCATTTTATAGAGGAGACACGAGCGTGTTAAGGTTAAGAAGCCATACTCGTTCATTTTCCATATTTGAAGGGTGCTTTCTAACTTAATCAAGCAAATGTACTAACCTATTTATAATTTTTCATGTTTCGCACATAGGGGTAAGGGATATACATATAAAGAAAATATCATGCAAAAATGGTAAAGATCCTAAAAGGTAAAAAATATGCATGAAATGTAGTGATTGTCACGCATGTATGTGATTCTAACGCGTGGACGGCCTAAAGGGTCTAGTATTGGCTAGCCCATTTCTACATGTCTTCACTAGCGTTGGACTAGTAAGAAATCGAGGAGAATGGCCACAACTAGTGTTGGACTAGTGTGGTAATGCCATCCATTTATTATAACTAAATAAAAACATATAAAACATAATTAAAACAAGTAAACGCGTAAACACATAAAGCACATAACACATAAACATAATATCTATATGCAAAGATTCTAAGAAAGCGAGTAACCATATAAGCACATAAACATGCAAGAACGCAAGCAAATAAATACACACAAGGACCTAACTATTACATTCGGGGGTCCTAACTACAATCTAAAGGGGGAAATTGAAATAATAATAATAATTTAACTATTACATTTATCTAATTGAATACATTTTTAGTAAAAATCAAAACCTATCTATTACAACTTGACATTTTAATGCCTCTTAAATAACCATTAAAATTAAATAAAACAAATGTACTTAAAACAAATAAAATGAATAACTAAAAGAAAAGTCACTCAAAAACATGCAATTGCACACATAAAAAACACATAAGAGCATATAAGAGGATTTAAAAAAACCAAAGAAGATACCTCCCTTGAAATAGTAGCTAATGGGGGTTGGATTTGCCCTATTTAACTCCAAAATTAACAAAAATGATCAAGGCACCAATTTAATTAACAATAAATCATAAAGAAATGGAAATAAACATGAAATCTATCAATTGAAGCATTCAAATGAAATATAATTAATAATTAAAGAAGAAAAGCAACTTCTATTTAAGAAAACAAATTTGTAAGGGACCTAATTGCAAAAAATTGAGAAAGTTTTAGGGGTCAAATTATAGTTATTATAAAATTTAGGATTAAAATGAAAGAAAAATAAAGTTCAAGGGCCTATTTGCAATTAAATGAATGATCTAATTGAAGGAAATCTAAAGTTTTTAGGGCTATAATGCAATTAATCAGAAGTCTAGGGATCAAAATGCAAATTTCGATACTAGATGTTCTTGGGTAATAGGCCAATGGGCCATTGTCTGACTTCTCCTTGGGCCAAAACCACTTGGCCCGACCGGAAGTCCAAGAAACTGAAGTGGGTCCGCCCACTTTTTTTACCAATTAAACCCAACCAAAGATGTTGGGTTTGATTTTGTTAAACCCAGGTTAAAACCCAATCAAATTAATCAAAACCCAATCCTAAAACCCAACTAACATTGTTGGATTTTAACCTCCTAAGCCCAAGTCAAAATCCAGAAAATAAGCCAACAACCCATTAGTCAAACTCAACCAAATAAACCTGTAATCCAAACTACCTATTCCACCAAAACCTAATAAGATAATAAATCCACTAAAACAAATTAAGGTTTAATTATACCCTAAATCACAGAAATAACATGCTTAGAAATGCACTTAAAATATGAAGAGAGGATGAAAACTCAATAGGGACATGACTGCTTCAATTACAGAAGCATTTGGGCCATAGTGTAATTAGGCAAAAATTAAGGGGTCATATTGCAAATTCTGAAAATCCTTCATGCAAGCTTCGAAGACAGCTTTCATTCTTTTTGCAACTTTGTGGGGTTTGCAACTGGGATGCATATATCAATTTTTAGACAAAAACTCCAGTCCCAAACATGTTAAAATCCTCAAATCTACCATCAAGATGCAATGTTGGATACCAAAAAGAAATTTAAACATAGTATTGGGGAAACATTTTAAGCATGGCCACAAAACAAATGCCACAAATCTTGATGCATAAAGCGTAGATCTAGACATATGCTAAGGAAAGAGGCGAACTAAGTCAGTTTTGAGGCTTAATAGAGGCAGAAAAAACGTGAAGAAACCAAAAGAAATGCAGCTAAAAAGCAAGGAACATGTCACCAACCTTCAGATTAATAGCTATCCAAGTGCTGATGACCTTGCTATTTCGGATCCAAATCCAAGGGTGTTAACAACATTTTTTGGGGAAATGTTCGACACAAAATCTGTTTTCCTACACCTATAGATAATGCATAAACAAAAACATCCCTCAAATAACTACAATCTCCATCAGATTTTGAGCCAGATGATCAACCCTGGCTCAGTTCTTCACCCAAAATTTTCTGCAATTTTTCTCTCTCCTTTTTCTCTCGTTTTCTCCCTTTTTTTTGCTGTTTTTCTCTCCCTCTGATCTCTCCGCCTCCTCTCTCACTTATTCTCTTCTCCTTGGCCCATTTTGGTTCCATTTATATGAAATCTAAAGCTCTCTCAACCCTAGCAGCAATGGATAGGATGAAATAGATTTTTGGGCATGATTTGGAGCCATTAGATGGTAGATTTTAGATAAGAATTGGAAGATGATCTGTCCCTTGTACTAAGAGGCTTAAATGGAAAGAAAAATGCGAGCAAATGGGTGGAAATGGGATCCAAATTGCCGCTGCAAAATCTTGTATTGTGGCCTTTATTCATCTTCTTCGTATGGAAAAGAAGGAAGCCAAGCGCGTGTCTTACACGCACGCGTGGCTCTTCTCCATTCTCTTTTTTTTAAAAAAATTGATTTTGATTTTTATGTTTCTTTTCTTTTCTGCTTTTCTTTTCCTTCCTTTTTGATTTTTTCTAAAAATAATTTTTCGCAAGATATAGAAATGAAACAAGAATAAATAAAATTTAACAAAAATGAACAAAAAATAGGAATAAAATGAAGAAAATAAAATGGTAGAATTTTTTGGTGTCTACAGCTGACATGAAGGTGAGTACACTAACAGAAAAAATGAAGACTAAAGTTAATGTCAACATCTTTAGGTGGCAAGCTTATAGAACCAAGAAAAAGGCAGGGAGTTTAGTTAATGATGAACATGAAGCCAAATACAACAAACTTTGGAACTACTGTAAGGAAGTAAAGAGGGCTAATCCTGACTCAAATGTTTTCATGACCACTGTTGAAGATGATGATGGAAATGATAGGTTTGAGAGGCTGTATACTTGTCTTAATGTGCAAGATAGGCTTTTTAAATGGTTGTAGACCTATTATCGGGTTAGATGGCTGCCATCTTAGAGAGTTCCACAAGGGTGTATTACTTGCAGCCGTAGGAATTGACCCCAATGATCAGTTGTACCCTATTGCCTATGTTGTGGTGGAAATAGAAAACAAGCTGACTTGGAAATGGTTCATAGGTGAATTGGTGAATGACCTCCAAATCAGAGATGAAAATCATTGGACATTTATTACTGATAAACAAAAGGTGTATAAGTGTATTTTTCTGTATTTTTTTTTGTGTAAGTTGAGGTTGCTAGTTTTAATTTGATGATCTGTTTTCACCTTTTAATTTTTTGAAAAGACTGATTCAAGCTATTGAAGAGTTGCTTCCAGATGTGAAGCATAGGATGTATATGAGACACATGTACAATAACTTTAAAAAGCTGCATGGTGGTTTGGTATTAAAGAAGAAAATTTGGGCACTTGCAAGAGCTTCTTACAAAAATCTGTTCAAGGCTTTGATGGAAGCTTTGACAGCAGTTGATGAGGGTGCATTTCAATGGTTGCTTGACAATACAACACTGCAGCAATGGACTAGAGCTTACTTCAGAACCTCCACTAAATGTGACATTTTATTGAACAGCCTATGTGAGAGTTTCAACTCCAGCATTTTAGGAGCAAGGGAGAGGCCTAAACTAGGTATGCTAGAAACAATACGACTTTATTTAATGGTTAGAATGAAGAATAAGATGGAGTGGATGAAAAAGTATATAGGAAAGTTATGTCCTAAAATTTTAAAGAAGCTGGAAAAAGTAAAAAATGCTTCTAGTGCTTGCATAGCTACACCTTCAGGGGACTGGAAGTATGAGGTGAGGTGTATGTATGGGGATAGGTACACTGTGAATTTGGCCAGTAGAACTTATAGTTGTAGAAGATGGGAACTAAATGACATTCCTTGTGCTCATGCAATGAGTGCTATTGTTTTGACAAAGGAGCCTCCGGAGAACTTTGTTAATGAATGCTACTCAAAAGAGGCCTACATGAGGGCATATGGGCCTATAATACATCCTTTCAATGGTGAGCATTTGTGAAAGGATTTAAAACAGAGGCTTGTCCTGCCACCTGAAATCATCAAGCTTCCTAGCTAGCCCAAGAAGGTAAGAAGAAGAGAGCTAGATGAGCCATCAGTTGCAACAACTTCTTGAGGACAAAGTGTAGAAAGTGTAAATAAAAGGGCCACAATAGTTGGAAGTGTCCAAGCAACCATGACCAAGGGAATGTCCAGCAACAAACTACTGCAGCTACAAGTAGCTCTCAACCACAGCAGCAGACTCCTAATACCATAAATCCTGGTGCAAACAAACAGTCCCAAACTAATTACCAGCCTCAAAATGCTACTCCTGTTGCAAACAAACAGTCCAATTTCACACTTGAAGTAGTCTTTGGTGCAAGTGGCTTGGAGACTGGTACAAGTGACCAAATCTTGTTTGATCTCATCAGTCAAATCCCATGTGAAACTACAAATAGCCAACCACCTACTCCAACATCAACAACAAAGAATGCAACATCTGTAGTTCATATTTCTCTACTTGTTCATACTAATTTTATTCTATAGCATGTTTACTTCCTTCTATACTATTATTTACTTGAATTTCTGGTTGCCAATTGTCAAGGTAAGAAAGTCAAGTACAGATGTGGTGTATGTCGGAGATTTGGACACACTCGAAATAGTTGTGATTCAATATTGGCCTCTCTCTATAAGAGACACCTATGGGAACCACCTGGACTGGCTGTAAGTAAATCGCTATTGTCTACTGCATACATCATCTAAAGAAGATTGCAAAGATAACTACTTCTAAGACTGCAAAAATTGCTATTGGCTGTAAGTAATGATCTCGTCATTGTTTCGTTTGTATCAGAGGCCTAAGAAGACTACAAAGATATCTACTTCTAAAAGTGCTGCAAGGAGGGATGACAAGCTGACTTAGATGACAACGGCATGCTGCTGCAAATGGCTTTATTTAAGTGTTTAAGAAGTTAAAAGATGTTCTTTTTGTCTACTATTTGACTTCAGCAGACCTCTTTTTTGGAGCAGTGGAATTGACCTCTTAGTTCATTGCATTTTTTTGATAAAAGACGCATTGTAATGAACGTACTTGGCTCGGTTATGTACTATTTTTTGATTGCAATGGAATGCATACACTTTTTATTCTTGGAGCTTCACAATTGGTTCACTTTCTCCTCTTTCTTCACTTATAATCACGCCATTATCCTCTTCATTATCTTTCAATACAGGACTATTCTTGGTCAGCTTTTTACAACACATTCAAGTTTGACTTTTATTCCATATTATGTTGTAAGCTCATATCCAAGGAAAAATCACAATACAGCAAAGAGGACTTAAGCTTCATAATTGCATTCCAACTCCCACTTGTACAATCAATAGGACCACTAAAATGTAACCCAACCTAAATACAGCAAATAAAAGCCACCCAGTTTACCACCTACACCAACAAATGCCAGTTACAACTCAATCTTTTCACAACAATTTCTGCACTACGAAAACAAAGGACACAAACAGCAACAATTTCATCATTTTCTCCTTGCGTCTTGTTTATTCCATATTTGCCTCTAACTCTCTTACCTTCATCATCAATCTTTTTGTGTGTCTCAGTAATTTATCGCACCTCACGCAACCACTTGTATCATACCACTTGAAATAGCCATAGTCGCCGCCACCATTATGCTATTCAAAATTACCTCTTCAAATTTCACATTTTCTGAAATAAAAAAGTAATAGAAATCAGGCACACTTACTTCGTAGTAAGCGCAACCATAGGACCTCTTACCTAGATTTTCAGCCATCCATGACGTCTTCACTCTCGTTGGTACACTGCAATTACAAGTTGGTGGTTTTGCCATGGAAATGAAGCTTAGATTTAGGGTTTGGTTGAAATGAAGGAGACAAGAAGAATTTTGGGGACCATTCATCCCTTACATTTTGGACAACAAATAAGTGGTTTAGCTTTTTTACCCTTTAAAAATTGGACATGTGATATGCGCGTGAGACATTCCGGACAAAAGTGGCTCGAAAAAGTGAAAAGGGACTTAATTGATCCTTTTTATTTGCTAAGGACTAAAAGTGATCATTTTCAATTTGAGGGACTAAATTTTCACATTTACAATATGTGAGGGACTAAGTGTGCAATTCTCCCTAAAAATATCTCTTGGTAACATGAATATCTCATGTTACTTCTATCAGGTTTTTAAAACAAATGAAAAGGATAAAAGAAATCAAATATCACCATTACCGATAGGTAAAAATTTTAAGGTAGTTCTTTGTAAAAAAATTAAAAATAAAAACCAAGTTTTGGTGCTTCGAATTATTTTTGTAAAGTAATTTATGAAAATACTCCTTTTAACAAATGCATTCGTATTGGTTGTCGGTTCCTATAGAGTTGAGCAAAAAGTCTATATAGAGAAATTGGAAATGAAATATAACATACTAGATAAGATAAGTTTAGAGTTTTGGATAAAAGAATGTTAGCAAGAAAGGGTTTTTTCCCCTCTTTTAAACTCATTTTTTACTTAAGATTTGTAGAGTTTATGAAAGCTATTATAATCTTTTCATAATACCAAGTTAGCGATGTATAATTTTTCAAATGTCACAAGAGGTGACTGCAATTGCCAGAAACCTTAAGGGAGATTTCAGAATCATCCCCATATATAATGCACGAGTAGTTCATCCGTAAGTTATCAAGTGGGGAGAATGCTAGTTTTCATCCCTAAACTTTAGGCCTTGAACATATTTCATCCTAAAATTTTCTGGTATAATACATTTAGTATCGGAGCTATCAATTTTTTACTAATTTCATTCTCAAATAGGAAATTAATTAATTTGAATGGAAATTGGACATGTGATGGGTATAAACCCATTAAATAAAAAACCTTGTGTGACTTCATATCAACACGTGATGGGGATGAATCTGTTAAGTAACAAATCTTGCACGACTTAAAATCAATAGAATAGAACGTATATTTTTACTTTCCCAACTCTAATATCTTTCTTTCCAACTCCAATTTCTGTTCAAATTAATTAACTTCTCATTTGAGGATGAATCTTGTCAAACATTGATAGATTGAGATAGTTCAAATACTAAATGTATTAGACTAGATAGTTTGAGAATGAAATGTATCAATGACCTAAAGTTTAAGGATGAAAACTAGCATTTTCCCTTTTCGAGTGCATTGGAAATTTTTAATGCATTTGAAGTAAATTAGGCCTTGAATTTTGCTTTCAGCTTTGGATGTAGTACCATTATTTTACTTAATAGTACCTAACTATCAATGGATTTTGTGAGTTTCTAGTAGTTCCTGTAATGGTACTGTTAAGCTAAGCAAAATTGCACTAAATTGAAATTGGGAAACATAATTGCAAGTCAAAATGCACTAAAAGCATCAAATCACATGTGGAAGGAGCGCAATTTTAAAGAGCAATAAATGGATTTTAATTGAACAAAACAAGTTGGGAAGGTTCAGAAGAGGGCAACATAGCACTCTATTAAAAAAGCAAAACAAGGCAGCAAACGTATCTTGCCTGATCTTTGCGGTGGCAAATGGTGATGATGCAATTTGGGCGGCTAGGATAAATGTTATAACACAACACGCGATTGCTTAAATTAGCTAGTTAGGTTTGGATTATTCATTTTGATCCTTTTTTTAAAAATATTTTCCACCCCTCCCCACACTTTTCTCACCCCTATCTGCTAGATTCAGGATTCAAACCCTGAACTTGACAGTGGGGAGAATTGTAAGAGCTCTCCTCCTGTTATGAACATCACCAATTCACTAATTAATTCATTTTAATATGCTCAGTAATTGGTATGTTTAAATTATCCAAACTTGATAGTATTAAGGCTCGATAGTATTGGTGGCCTTTGGGCTATTGGCCACCACGAAGTCCTTAAAGTTTGGTGGGGTGAGAGGTCAAGGATTTAAATTTTGTCTCCCACCAATTGCCTCAATATGTGGTCTCTCTAAAAAATCCAGATGGGTTCGTAGTACACCCGTCTAGTCCGATAGTGGTTCATTCCCCGTCGGTCCCCCGTAGATCCAGTTGAACCTCCCCCCTTAGATTAAGATATGGTAGGATAATATAGATAAAATGATGATGACAAAAACAAGATAGTATTATATTGGCACTTTCAAGTATTTTGGCTAATTAACAAGGTAGTTAGTATAGATGTGCATAATAATTTGTTTACTTCGGTATCAGTTAAAGGGTCAGAGACCATCAAAACATTAAAATTACAACTGGTGGTTTTCACTTCTTTTTATTTTTAATTTTTTTAGTTGAGGAAGGGTTGGATTTAGAAGTAGGGGGGAGAAGGGAGATTTGAACCTAGGGTCTTTAATTTCTAGTGATTGCTACTTGGTGTAGGGTGGTTGGGGTCATTTTTTAATATTTTTGGAGTTCAAAAAAGAGTGTCATTGTTAAAAACCAATTCACTTCCTGAATATCTAATTCTAACCTGTTCATGATTCAATCAATTTTTAAACATATAAACTATTCTTTCCCAATGTGAAATACATGAAACAATTTGAGGGCAGAAAATGTCTCAAAATTAAAGTTTGAGGTGCAATTCGAGTATCGAACTTTAGTGGTGCAATCAGGCAAAAAAAACTTTAGTGGTGCAATCAGGCAAAAAAAACTTTAGTTGTGCAAAGTAGAATGATGAAACTAAGGTTTTGATTTTGATTGAACTTCTATTCGAACTTTACCTACTAAACCAAAGAGAGGCAAATAAAACAACTTCCATTGGTGTAGAAGTGTCCAAAAGTTCAATTTAGAATGTGATATCAAAATAGCAATAAAATTTAAGGGCACAAAATGCAATTAGTTCTTAATTTCTTTAAGGGTGCCAATTAATTTTTTAAGGGTACTATCAATTTTGTGTTCGTAGCAGAATGTAACGTTGACATAAAAGGCAATTATTCAATGAAAAGCACAAGAGCATCAACTTCTAACAATTGCATTTGTGTTGCACAATTGCTATGGTTTTAATGTAGAACTAGCTTGCAGGACATTAAGATAAGAAAAATATGTGCTCAAAAAAGGGATAAGAAAAATATAACAAAAAGAAATAGCTTAGAATTAACAAGTGGTTTAATAATTTAAAAAAAAAGTGGTCTAATAAATTACTTACTCTCTTCCAACTAATAACGTAATAAGGGCTGGACCAAAATGAATGCCTTTTATAAAAGTTTTTTATATTTCAATTAGACCCTTCATTAGATTGAAGATTATTTGTAAAACTTTTTATTTTAATACTGTAACATTTTTTTTTGCAAGGTCTAGATGAAGAAGGGCTTCAAGCCCATTACACGCCAACATATCTTGGTGGGCTGATAAGAACTTGATTCCCTCCCAAATCCAACTCTACCTTGAGCCCATGAAGGCTGGCCCGGAGTTTTGCTATGAAATAAGAAAATAATTGAAAAATAAAAGATTTATTAAAAAAATGTGTGGGAAACAACAAGAAAAATTTGTTGTAAAAATGCTTGGTGCAGACTATTCTATTATGATCATTATTTTTCAATTGTCATAGATGCAACATCATTCATATCACTCAACTACTGTTTAATTCATCGAAAACCCTGTATTATTATCAATTTATCATTAATTATATATGTAACATAATAGTAGGTTTGTTTGGATTGCTGTTTATTTGCCAAAATATATTTGCTTACATCATCATTACAATTTCCAACGCACCCTTTTATCTTTCCAATTATCTTTTTATCTCACATGCATCACATCATAAAAAGTGCTACAGTAAAAATATCTCTAATAATTCACAATACATGATATACGAGTTGATTCATGGAAATCTATATAGCCATCAGAAAAATTCCCGTGTGGTAATTAGATAAAGTAAATCTATTTGTTAGAATTACTAAACCACTAATTGAAATTCCCTTTTTTTTTTTTTGGCTTTTGGAGCAAGAATCATGCATGATCATGATGGGTGGTTCAATTGCTTGCAAGCTGTCTAGTCTCAGCATTATTATTAGTTCATTTATTTTTTGACTTAATCGTGTGTTAAATATATGCAAACAAACACCTTATCTCACCTTCCAGGCACCCTTTAGCAATGGAGAGTAGTGGACCTCTACTTTCCTTGTTCCAAAAATGCCCTGGACACAGCATTATTATTAGTACATTTATTCTTAGGCTTGATCGTGTGTTAAATATATGCAAATAAACACCTTATCTCACATTCTGGGCACCCTTTAGCAATGAAGAGTAGCAGACCTCTACTTTTCTTGTTCCAAAAATGCCCTCAACATTTTTCCAAATGCCCAATAGATCCCTTTCTCCTCCCTCCTCTTCATTCTCTCCCTGTCGATCCCCTCAATCGCCTCTGCAAACCCTCAAATTATCTACTTCGAGTACTGCAACGACATCCAACCTGTCATAAAAGACCTCATATAGCTCACGATTTCTAACGCTCGCTTTACTTTATCTTTAGGAAAACATGACGAACCTCAACCTTCAATGTACAACTTCACCAAGAAGCTCCGTTTCACCACGAGAAGCTCTCAAAGGACCCAGAACAGAACAACAACATTTTCAAAGTGGACGGAGGCATGGATTTACAGGGTTTTCAGCTCCAGGGGCATATTGGCAATCACAACCACCGCGGCCTCAGGATTGTTGTTTAGCGGCCACACAGGACGCGGGTGGATCCTTTTTATGTCGATGATGAAGTTCACAAATTTTACCTAGGTGGGTTTTGGAATTCCACCTTTGGGAAGCTCATGGTGGGGTCAGGTGAAGAGAGGAGGCATAGCTCTACATGGGTTTAATATTCTGAATTTAAAAGCAAAGGTAGGTCCTACAATTTATGCAAAGTGGGTTTTAGCCAAAAAAAGAAGGAAAATCATTATCTTGGCCATCAATATAGCATGGAGGTGAAAAAAAAATTAAAAAAACACAACTTTCTCAAAGGAGAGGTATGTCACTTGTTAGTTGCATTGTCTTCTTATTTTGACAACTAACAAGGTGAAAAAGTAAAATATTTTGTGGCTCTTTGCAAATATGATCATGTATAAACATTAAGACTTAATACATACCCACATGGCATTTATTAAATAATAATTTTTAAACAATTTCTCAACTATTAATAGTACAACAATTTAGGATTGATGTAAGAGTAGTGAAAACTAAAAAATTGAAAAGATGAAATAAGGAGAGTTACTAATAAATGCATGGAGGGGCAATTTCTTTTAAAATATTTTATAGGTTTTTATGTCATTTCATTAACCAAAATATAAGCATTGAATTCCTGAAAGTTTTCTTTTTTATTTTTTTCTGAAGTGCCAATATCATTTGTCTAAAACTTAAACGAAACCTATCAAATACCATTAGATTAAAAGGTTCATTGAAGGCAACTCCATAAAAAATTTTAGCGCAAAAAATATGATCTTGCTCTCATCCAAGTTTCTCTTTTTAATATCTAAACTAAATAATATGCCATGAAAATTTTCGATCATTGTCAATAAAAAATTTCTCTTGAAGATATGAAAAGTTATTTTCCTTGTACAATTAGTTTCCTATGATTGTTTGATTTTTCTTATTTCCACTCAAATGTACATTTATCAAGTATTAAAATAGAAAAGAAATTTTTATCAAGTAAATAAGACAATTGTAAATCTAATTTAGAATATATAAGGTTATTAGATGAGAGAAAATTACCATTTGGTTAGTTTGTCGTTTGAACTAATCTCTTATTTATTTAAGGATTGATCTTCTATATACTAACAATAAAACTATTATTATCGTTGATGCATGACAATTAATTTAAATTTAAATTTAAAATGTAAATTTTGCATACATCTAACTGTGATACATTGTTAATGTACATAAAATTAACTTTTTATTAAACAGGTTTGCTTTGCTTTTCTGTTAATAGGGTTGGACAATCTAATGTGGAATAACTAATTTCGCCAAAATTAGTATGTGAAAAGTGAATTATATTCCTTTTTCCTGCTGCATTAAAATTCTCTTGCCTTTTAATTTCTTAAAAATTAATAAACAAAAAAAGGGGATTTTAAATCGTTCATTATTCATAAAAGTAGAAACTAGGAACACATTTTCATATTTGCTATGAAGGGTCCGATTTTAAAATTCCTGCAAAACCTTCCCCTTTCCCTCCAGAGGTAGCTTTTGAATAAAATTCCTCCATTAATGCTTGATTCTGAACTGATATTGAAGGCTCTATGACATCAATTTCATATAAGCCGCTATCCCACTCGATTACCATTCTTATCTGTAGGTTTCTTTACATTTTTTTTTTTCAAATTTTTTTATGCTTTTTCTATGTTTTTCTTTGCTTGGTAGTATTTATTACGTATTTATCCTGAAATTTCAGATATATGATTTGTTGTTATTCTGATGATTTATGGAGTTTCTTAGTTCGTTGTCATCTTCTGGTGTTAATTTTCTGCAATTTTTAGCTTCCAGGATTTGGCTTTGCAATGAGGGAAAAGGGCATAACTAGGGTTTGAACTGCAGAGGATGATTATAGGTGTTCACTGTTGAAATGAGATTATCTTGTCCTTAATTAGTTTATTCGAGTTGTAATTTTTAATTGAAGCAAATTGCTGAAGAGAAACCTAAATACCGAACATTTTATGCTCCTCTAAATCCTACTATTAGGGAATGGAAAACATAATTTAAGTCCAAGCTGAACAAGCAACAGTAGTTGGGTAGTCGATCAATGTGTCTAGTTGAAATAATCCGCGGACAGTGTAATTTATATTTCGTATTTTGATATTTAGGTAATCTGGTTTTTGTTTCCCCCGCTTTGGAGGACAGAATTTTTTAGTGTCTTGGATAGTTGCGAACTTGAATTTGTAGGATTTATGCCTCTGATAATTTTATTTGTAGAGGTTTGTAGCTATCTAACGGTAGGTAATTTACACCAATTTGGATCTAGAGTGTGTGGATTTAAACATTTGAAGTTGACAGCTTGCACTGCGTGAGCATGAAGTAGTGCAAAGCAGGAATGTGAACTGTTCATGCCAGGACTTGGCCTGGTGAATTGCTCAAGCTTTTGTATAGAATTTTCCTGTTTATGTTTTATCATTCTTCTTTTCCTTTAATGCAAGAAGATAAACTGAGGGTGAGTCAAGGCTCAATAAAAAATGGAGAATTGGTACAGTATTCTGAAGAGTAGTGGAGATATGACTTAAGGTAACTTTTAATGCGCAGAGGATACTAGTAGTTTAGGTCCTAGGCTAAACAATGCATTTTATTTGTTTTTGTTTCTTATCATTTTATTTTAGTCATAGGTTTTAGCATTTTTGAGTAGGAGTATATTTTTATATCATACCTACATTTCTATGTTATCCTCTTGGAATTTAGGATAGGTTAAGATACATGTAAAATTGTTTTGGGTTTTGTTGAACTACAGTTTTGAATTTCACAAGTTTTGTTAGTTGAAGACGCTACATTTCAACAATCTCAACTTAGCTAAAACTTTGAAGTTGGCATCCAGGAGTTAGCTACAATATGAGTTAAACTTTAAAGCTGTTACAGTGAAGTTATTTACAGTATTGAGTGAGACCAAGCTATGGAGTTTTTGAATTCCATAATTTGTGGTAATTGGACTAGAACATTGTAAGTTGGTAAAAATAGAAATTTTGCATTTTGGTCAAGTCCATTGCTATTTTGACGTGACTTGAATTCTCTTTTCTTTTGTAATTTTGGATCTTCAGACTTTGATTGACCAGTGTAATCTAAAATCCCTAGTTCTCTTTTCTGAGCTATTTGCCAGCTATTTATCTTGGTGGTAAGGTAGATAGTTCGACCCTAGTGTGGTACTTAATGCTGATTAAGGCTGTTATATCCATCTAATATGAGATTGCCCTAACTAAGATTTTTACTCTATTTGTCTATTTTCTGCGCTTGTCTTATGGTTCAAATGTTGGATAGACCTAATATGGAATTGAAACAAAAGATACCTCACTGTATTAGACGAGAAACTGCAGAAGAGGAATCAAGACAAAACAGAGCCAGAGGATTTGGGTCATTGTGGGTCCATAGGATTTGGGTAGTAATGTAACTTTTTTTCCTCAAAACTTTTCTGAATTCTAACCAAAGCTATTTGGTAGTGGTTTCTGGACTGTAGAGTGTAGAAACTCTCCGGCAGTAGACAATCTAGGTGGCTCTGCTGTGCGCATTCTCAGGCGGACACTTGACTCATGACATCACCACCCAGCATTTGTAAGTGATTATCTGGCTTTCCTTAATATATATTAACTCATATGCAAGTGGCGCCTTTAAGTTTTGCAGTGTTTGCTGAAGAAAGTTACAGTAGGAAAGATTTTACTCTTGGGCCTTCCCCACCCCCACAACAACAAAATCCCCCCAAAAAAAATCTGTTGGTATATTTTCACTTGCTTATTCTGTACTTCCTTTATCTTTAAGAAGCGAAAGAAAATTGTCAATAGACATGAGGGGTGTGGAGGAGAATGTTATTCTACAATTTGTTTGTGTAATCGAAGGTTGATTAGATGATTTCTTGATTTATTGATGCAGTGCACAATGATGGAAAAGGATGAAATATGTATGCTTTAACGTGATGCTAATTCCATGTTGTTGATACTGGCTTTGAACACATTTAATTTAATCATGTTGGCATAAGACTGTGTTTGTCTATTTTATTACTGCTCATTGCTTTACATTTTAATCAGGTGCAATAACAGAACATAAGGAGTTAATAAGGGGGGACAAGCTTGTACTCAGAGGTTTAAAATTTCATGGGTATCATGGGGTGAAGCAGGAAGAAAGGAAGCTTGGTCAGAAGTTCTTGATAGATGTAGATGCCTGGATGGATCTGCGAGCAGCCGGTACTTCAGATCATCTCTCCGATACTATAAGTTATACTGCCATATATGCGTAAGTCATAAATCCCAATTTTCTTCATTTGTCTCCAAGTTGAGGGACAAGTATCGTAACAGTACCGTTGCTTTTCATAGCCTGTGATTCATAGATCCTTTTCCTATCAATATTTTTCTCCACTGCTGACCACCATGTTCACGTGATTGAAACATCTCCCTAGCAGGATATTATAATTCCAAAACTAAACTTAGTGTGAAAGCAGGTGTAGGTGGGATCCGCTTCTTGTTCTTTAACAATTGGATATTACCTGAAAATGAGAATTATCACTTGTCTAATTTGGGATGCTTCCCTGTTTAGACAGAGCAGCAGCCTTTTTGGTTGTACCCTGCATTTTTTCTTATATTTGATGCTCCACTTGTTGAGTCTCACATCAGCTCCTTAAAAGTCAGAAAGCAGGACTGCTTAATAAATGAAAAAGGAAAAGTGAAGAGGCGGGAGAATTAATTGAAATTCGACACATCAATTAGGAAGGACTATATCTCTACTATATTTGAGCTTCTCTCTTGTATAATCTTGGAATAGCAGACTGAAAATGTGGTGTTAACATGAAACCATGAGTTTTTGAAAAAGTGAAAAAGCAAAATCTTTCTTAAAACTTCAACCTTTCCTGTGTCTAAATTTCTACCTTCCTTCTGGAATAACATCATGCAAACATGGTCTTCCCTTGTGAATTTCTAGAAAAAGCTCCTTTGGTAGTAGATGGGTGATGATATTACAGTTTGAAGATCTCATGTCACCTGCAATTATGTCATTGATGTGTGTGTTGATCCTGTTAATACATCTAGATTAGATAGATATTCTGTGAAATCTTTGACACACACCAGCCCCCCACTTCATGGCTTCCACCCAATTTCCTGGGCCAACCTGCCAATGTAACTTTATGTTTTGAACCTTGCTTTGACATTCATTTTCGCTACTGAGCTTTAGTTGCAATGTGGACTGTTGCTAATGATGTCTGTGTAAGAATTTTCTTTTACTTGTTAAACAATAAATGCCAATGCGTTTGTTAGTAAGCTACAGCTTCCTCATAATGTGAACTGGTTGATCGGCAGCATAGTCAAAGAAGTCGTAGAGGGACCACCAAAAAATCTTTTGGAATCTGTGGCTCATCTGATTGCATCCACAATCCTGTCCAGGTATTCTCAAATTTCTACAGTCCGCGTGCAGGTTGGAAAGCCACATGTTGCTGTTCATGGTCCGGTAGACTACTTGGGTGTTGAGATCATAAGATACAGAAATGCTGATTTGTAGAGTTATGCAGAATTGTCAACTGATCCTCTTTTCTTGTACCAAAAATATTGAAAGTCAACTACTCTTGGCAAAAATGTTTCGATTTAACAGCTCTTTTTTGTTTTCCCTTTTTTGGTGTAATATCCAATGTTATCGCTACTTTCACAATGCTGTGTTGGGATTTTGATGGCTGTTATTGTCTCCATGGTCTAAAAATGATGAACTGGTATACCGTTTTATTTCACTTGAATCTACAGCTTGCTTGCGTTCCCTCTTACATGTGAATACTTTTACCTCCCAAATTTCGCTAGATTTACTGCAACTCTTCTGCTCGTCTCCCTCTTCCTCCCTCAATCTAAAGGTTAGGTTACTTGGTTCTTTTGGTGTAAGGACAATAAAACAAGTAAACTCAGATAGGATGAGATATCAAATAAGACATCAGAAGTTATGAACAAAAAATAAAATAACAACAGCGTCGAATCTCAATAAAATAACATAAACGATAGGGGAATAAAGACTATACTTTCCCCTATCATTTTTCAGATAGCTAAATCCTAAGTTAAAAAAGTTGCCTAAGCCTAATTAAAAAGTTGCATTCAGATGTTGGACCGCTAATCATATTAGCTATAGTTGAAGGACAGAGGAGTCGTCTCTGGCCAAGCCTCTTGACATTGAGATCGTACAAGCATGAAATTGGTCACAATCCCGACCAGCATGTTTCTCCAAAATTAAGCAAGTTTGAAATTTCTGATCCTCCCAATCAAGACTGTACAAGCTGCCAGATTCTCTAAGAACTGCAACATATTGAGGTTCCAACTTCTCCTTGACACCAGAATAGAATTCCAAGTCGCCAAAAAATCTGCCACAGAAATCAATATCCAATATTACTTTCGTTGGATCAGCATCAGCATCAGCATTGTTTAAGTAGGCCTTCACACAGTTTTCCAACATTGGCTTCAGGACTCTAGCATTTTCACCTTTAGATGTATTTATTGCAAACCGAGAATCGGATTTATTGTCCAAACTTCTTGGAACTATCGGGTGATTATAGTTAGGAATTTTCTCTTTTAGCTTCTGGGCGTGTTTTGGAGTCTGCCTACGTTGTCAAGTAGCCAGTGCACATGGTAGAACAATACATGGCACCTAGATACATCAAGCTTCAGCAGCCCGAGATCATCTTCGCGGAGAATCGACGGTGGAGGCAAGGATGGATCAACGAATATATCCATGCATCTATCCATCATGCCTTCAGGACTCCATAGTCGTGAGAGGATAACGTTTTGTTGTTAACTAGGCCAAGATGGGTTGGCAGATAAAATAAGTTGTCGCTGAGTATTAACAAGCTACCTACGCTAGAAGAAAGGAATACTGGGATCAATGTCAAAGTAAAAATGGTGAAAGTAAAGAATACTGAGATGAATGTCAAAGCAAAAACGGTGAAAGTAAAAATGGTGAAGAAGATAACGGATGAAGAGTAAATTTTAGGGTTAATTACATTTACCTCCCTCGAGGTTAGGTCAAACTACTAATTAATCCTTGTGGTTTTAAAAAATAATAGATGACCCCTCACACTAACTTCCGTCACTTGTGATTAACGGAAGTAAGAAAAAAGACTAAATGCCCTTCAACATGTCTGATCAATTTCTAAAATAGAAAAAAATTATTTTAAAATTACACAAATAGCCTTTTGGCATGAAAAGTTATAGAGGTTTCCTATATGTTTGCCACTATTATAACAATCATCCTATTTATCATCATATTCCTATACTCTCTCTCCTTCTCTATTAACCCTTTCTCTTCTACATGGTTCAAAGTTTTAATCTTTAAACTCTGATCAATCTACTCTTTCTTGTTTATTCAAATATTTTGCTTTCTAATCCCGTTGATAACCAAAACAAAACAAATTATTGTAGTAATATTTTTTGGCTTGTTGAAGTGATAAGAGCTTAGAAAGATGGTACATCTTTAAACTCATTATGGTTTTCATGGCTAACTTGTAGTATTTTAAGCAAAAATTTTATTCACCTATATAGAGATATATCAATGGAAACAATTTTCAACGATTTGAAAAACATTTTTATGATATTTATTGGAAAACATTGTGGGGGCTTTTTTTGGCCTGTTTTCATTATTTAATCTTTGTTCAGATGAAAAAGGCTATTTTTGGAATAAAAAAATAGAAAGATAATGGCACATGGGTCTTGAAGGACATTTTTGGAGTTTAACTTTAATTTTTTGGCTGGCACTAGTAGAATTCCTAACGGTTTTAGACGGTAGGGTGGTTTTTGTTAAACGGTAATAAGTTTGAAGGGGGTATCTGTTATTTTTTGAGACTACAGGGATTGATTGGTGGTTTGGCCTAACCTCGAGGAAGGTAAATGTAATTAATCCTAAATTTTATATACACTTATAGTGTATATACACAATTGCAGTTGAATGCATGATACAAATGCAAAATTCAAGTTTCAAATTCAAATTTGAATTATGTGTCATGTGTCCAATCGTAAAAGTGTATGCACTGTCAATGTATCAACCATTAATCCGACGGATGAAAACCCACTATAGATTTCATCATGCCGAAAAAACGAAAAGACTAGGACTATGGTTTTTTTTTTTTTTTTTTTCCATATCAGGTGATGAATGTTCTTTCTACTGGGAAAAAAAATTGGCTGTGTTGGTTTAGGATTTTTACTAGCATTAGGATGATCGCCTCTGGTTTTTTTAGGATATTTTAGTGGGATTAGGGTTGTTCAACAAAATCATTAGTTTCTTTGTTCTATTCAAATAACTACTAGTGATTTTCAATGGAAAAACTCCTTAAAGATTACTGATTTACTGATGTTATGGTGATGGTGACGATGACGGTGGCTGATGGTTTTTCATTGCATCAGCAATAGATAATGAATAATCGTGACGCATTAGGGGACTTTAACATAAATCTGGACTCTTCATCTATGCCTTTTATTTTTTTTTTCTATCCTTTCTCAATGTGCGTATTTTTATGATGAAATTCGAGATAAGACTAGAAGAGAGAAAAGGCACGAGTAAAGAAGATTAAAAAATATATAATAAAAAGAGAGAGAGAGAGGGAGAGACAGAGTCAGAGACGAGAACTGGGACCAAAACAAAAAAGGACAGGAAGAGAAATTTTTTTTTTTTTTTTGGGTAATAAGAGAAGAAACAACAAAAGTAATTAAGGTTCCGTTTGATAAAACTGAATTTGAATTCTGAATTCTGAATACTGAAACAATTAATTTACTGAATATTAAGCACTAAAAAAAGATATATGAATATCTGAATCTTAATGCTGAACATATTTATACTATTTGATAAACATTTATAACTTAATGCTTAATAAGCTAAATTGTACAATTTTGCCCTTCTATCTTTTAATCCAAAAAGAAAATAGAACCTGTGATTTAATTAGCTTAACATTGTTAGGTATGAAAATGACAATATTTATTTTTAAATCAAAGTAATATAAAAGAAGAAATATATTATGGAAAAGTCCAAATGTTGGTGCAAATATATTTTTAAATCAGAGTTTGATATGAAAGTCCAAATATAAGCAAAAGGAAGCTGCAATAAACAAGTTTTAAATTCACACCAAATTATATAGAAATTTAATTACTTCAATGGAAAAATGTTGACGCAACCTTGGAAATAATGAATTTGAGATCAGTGAGTACGGTAACAATAAAAAAAATTGGGAGGAAAAAAATGACAAAATTATGAAAGAGTAGAAAGATGGAAAAAATAATGAGTGGACAGATGTGAGTAGCATGGAGAAATTGTAAAAAAGTCATTAAATTGGGAGAAAATAGAAGTAGAAAGCCATTAGACAGAGAATGTCAGGTTGTTTAGTTAGATAAGAATTTTGGATACAGAATATTAGGTTGTTTAATTAGATAAGGATTTTGAATGTAATTAACAAACAAGGATAGATTTGGTAGATAAGATAAAGTAGTTGAAGTAAATCTCTTGATTCTTATCAAATTAAGCATTCAGTTACGATTCTTGTGCTGAAAAAAATACATACAAATTCAGCACCACTTAATAAGTTCAGCAGAAAAATTTTTATTTATCAAACACCCAAAATATCTGAACGTCTGAATGAATTTAGTTTCAGCACTTTTTTCTGTTATCAAACAGACACTAAGTAGGGAGTTTGGTCACCAGGTGAAACTCAAGGTGCAAGCCTATCTGCATTGCAGGGGTTCAAATCTTTGCATCTCTCATATCTAAAAACGTGTGTAAGAGTGCATTCCTTTGATCTACATATAGAATCCCCACTTTCTAAGTTTCTTTGGCCTAGTTGATCCCTCGCCTGATATAGGTTATAGTATGAGTAGGAATAGACGTTTCCTTTGACTCTATAATTTCATGATTTTGATTTGGTAAATATTAATATTTTTCATTTTATGTCTTTATCTAATCTATGTTTATACTGTATTAAAAGCACAAGTTTGAAAATTTGAGTTAGTCGATTAATGCATTACATTTTATATTTCGACAATACACTATTCTACTAAGATTGCCGATGAAATTCTCTCTTTCTAAGCTTCTTTGGCATAGTTGGTCTCTCCCTTAAATATATGTTAGAGTAAGAGTAGGAATAAAAGTCTCCTTTGGCTCTATAATTTCACGATTTTGATTTGGCAAATATTAATATTTTTCATTATATGTCTTTATCTAATCTATTTTTATACTGTATTAAAAGCAGCATGAGTTTGAAACTTTGAATTAGAGGATTAATGCATTACATTTCATATTTCGATAATATCATATTCTACTGAGATTGCTGGATGTTTTGACGTTGAAATTTATGTTTTAAAACTCGGATCGATAAATGAGTCGATCGAACTCAGGGATCAAGGGTCAATGGATTCGATCGGGTCGAATTGATATTAAAAATTGGATGATGTCATTATGATGTCAAAAATATATATTAATTTTAAAATAAATAATATAAAAAATATTATTGATATATTAATTATGTTCATTTTTATCTCATATTCCTTGCATCACATCAACTTCTTAAAAAACACAATGGAGTTACAAATTGAACAAAATGACAAATCAATATCAAGCACTTAATACACATTTTAAATAAAAACACAACAATCAAATTTTAAATTAATTTTTTAATTTTATAAAGTTCAAATGTACATTCATGACAAGTCATAGACAAAATTGATGCTTATTTGTAAAAAGTGCAAAAGCTAAAGTTGCACAAAAGATTTATAAAAA